ACTGGTACACATCGGTGCTATACAAACAGTTTTTAACCCCTTTCCACGACGGCATTTGGAACCGTCGCCAAGTGAGTGTGGGCGATAGGGGGGTCCTTCCCACACGACCCAGAAATCGTCGGGGATAGGCCCTCCTGGCACATAAGAAGGCTCATGTGCGATCGAGCAAGGCATCGAAACCCAATTGTTTCCCATCATATGTACATCCCACACGGTGAATCCAAAAAAACATTTTCGTTCGTATGTATATCACACACAGTCAATGCAAGGAGTACGTTTCCGTTCTTATGTACATCCCATGCAGTCAATCTAGGGAAAATGTTTTCGTTCGTATGTACTTCGCACACAGTCAATCCAGGAAAAATGTTTCCGTTTGTATGTACATCCCACACAGTCAATCCAAGGAAAACGTTTTCATCCGTATGTACATCCCAAAGATTAGGCCGCTATAGTCGTGTGAAAAAGGTGTACATAAATATTTAATCTGCCAATATGTTTGTGATATATAGGTACGTTATGACACACGGTTCAAGAATATAAAATGTGTGTGGTGCCTCTAGTAACGCCAACGTGTACATTTTCGTAACTGTGTGCAATTGGTATTCTTATCACACACGCACACTGGTTTGAAATATTTGCCGTATTGCCATGAATCGCACACGCATATGAGCCGAAATCGTGTGTGCGTCCGACGGGCATCACAAATGTTTCACGTCAAAGAGCTGTCTGTTTTCTTTTTTCTCCGCACACGATGTTTTCATTCTAACCGTGTGCACATTATTTTATTCGCTCATATACAAATTTTTTTTGCTGTAATTTATTATTCGAATTAGAAATTTTGAAATATGAAACGTGCAATTCAAATTCTCAACAAATGGTTCAACAACGAATCCACAAATAAAATTATTAGTACAATATGTTCAGTAATTACAGGATTAGACAGCAATTAACTATGATGGACCACAATATTTACAGGCGGTAAAGGCAAAGAGACAAGTGTAAATCATTTTGACTGTCGATGTTGTTGAAGAAGAGGAATGCCCATAATGTGCCTTCTTGCATGTCATAGGCATGAACTACTTTTGTCCAACTCTTGTGACGATCGTCTGCTCATCCTTCATCGCCTTCAGGAAGACTTCTAGAGCATTATCATGGTAGCATGAATTATATACTTTAACCTTAGTTGCCTCCACTTCGGTCATGTAGTTTGCAAGGTAATCATCAGTAAATAGCTTCGGAAACCAATGAAAAGAGAAAAATATCAGATCATGAGGTCTAATAGAGTAATTTTTGTGGGAAGGGGGAAAGGCAACATATTACTTATCATCCTAAAGTTCACTAATGTCTTGGACAAAATGTAAATAAAGAGCTTAATTTCCATCACTCGTTTCTTTTGCCTAACAATCTTTCTTAGTTTCCTCACTTGACGCTTTTTCATGAATATCTCATTGCCCCATACACAAAAAGGATCGAAGCGTGGATCAGTACCGCTCATATACGTACCTACAAGCAACTAGTAAATGTTAGAGCTAAATGAGATTGCACAAATGATGTAAAATACAACTACCTATATTCCTAAATACAAGTATTTTTAGAGATTTCAATATGAACTACATACGGATGTATATAGAATTATAGATATAGTTTATATTAGAATCTAGATTCACTTATTTTGCTCCTTATGTAGTCTATATTGGAATCTCTAAAAAAGTTAAATTTAAGAATAAATGGTGTATAAGACATGGGATGCAGCTAACCTCGACGGCAAACAACAGCATCCCCCATTGAAGCCCTGTGTAAGTACACCAAAAATAGTAAATAGTAATAAAACAACAGCATTTGTCGTGATATCTTCATTGCGAAAGAGTAGCACGGTAGCAAAAGGACAGATTAAAAAATGAATACAACTGTTAATTGCAACAGGCTTAACAGCATCCTAATTCATGTTTTGTAAGTTTGTAGCCATTCAAATACAACTGTTTAAAAATGAATACAACTGTTAATTACAACAGGCTTAATGGCCATTGAAACCGGTACTGATAAAAATACAATTGGCAGAGTTAAACATCACAAGGCAGGTGCTGCGAGAGCAGATAATAGCCCACTTGTGTATAAAAAGGTAGGGAAAATAGCTAAAACGTGTTAGGCATGTTTACTACAAGATGCTTAAGACATCGACCGTACAAAACATAGCCATTAATTGCAACTGGTATTGGTAAGATTGAACTGGTGAGTTCATACTTGGTAAGTCCTGAGAGGTAGTTGCTGGGGCACTTCATCTTGGCCAGAGCCCGCCCAAACTCAGCCACGGCGGAGGTGAGCTCTTCATTCGGGTCGAAGCGTGGAACAGTGCCCCCGACATGTGTACCTACAAGAAGCAAGTAAATGTTAGAAGCCAAACTGCAATTGCATAAATGATGTAAAATACTGTAATACATGGGATGCAGCTTACCTCCATGGCAAACAACAGCATCGCCTGTTATGGCCCTGCGTAAGTACATGGATAGGCATGTTAAGTACAACAGGGTTAGCATCCACCAAAAATAGCAAATGGGTAGCATCTCTAGTATATCTTCATTGCGGAACGTAGCATGGTAGCAAAGTTTGTTGCTGGCATTAGTGAAATTGAACTGAACAGTTAATACTTGAACATCACATAGTGTGCAGTACTGAAATAAACAAGGCACAAACATTCTTAATACATCAACCGTACAAAACATAGCCATTGCAAGTGGTATTGGTAAGATTTAGCGGGTTAGATCATACCTATTAAGTCCTAGGGAGTAGTCGTCGGGGCACTTCTTCTGGGCCAGAGCATGCACCATGTCGGCGGCGGCGGAGGCGAGGTGTTCCTCCGGGTCAACACGCATAGCGGCCATCGCGCCATGGACCTGAAGGAAATATGCCCTAGAGGCAATAATAACGTTATTATTTATTTCCTTATTTCATGATAAATGTTTATTATTCAGCATGTAGAAATACCAGCGCATGACGAGGGAGGGGTATACGTGGTCGCTAACCAGCTACCCGTGCACCAAATAGAATTCCCCCGGCCTGAACGTTAGTAGTTAGGACTGGAATCATGCAGAACCCTTGGCGAATCCCTGATGAAGTGACAACTTATGCATCGGAAAATAATTTTTGAAAAGAGCAAACTATGAAGAATTTATAGTACAATTTGACCTGGTTCCTGCTGATTCGGATGAAATTTGTCTATTTGGTGAGAGGTGGATGGATAGTTTTTGACACGCAATCATTTGGTTAATTTTACATAGAATGCGGTCTAATATTTTTAAAACAGACCTTTCTGGCCTACCCGGACACTCTCTGTTGAACATGATATTTTTTTTGTAATCTCAAGACTGACCCGAACTTTTGTGAGCGGGTGGCATGCCCATGTTCGGCATCCATACCTGGTATGAATGTCTATCGGCACCGTTTGTACATTGCGACACGTCTGGCGATTTATCAACTTTTTTTCCCTTGGAAAACTCCAGAAAATGGAAAACTTGTCAAAAACTAAAATAATTGGCTTGGTGCCTTCAATTGTTCATACAAGACCATAGAAAACCATTGAGGCCATTACAAGGATGTGTAGAAACAACGTGCTCTTAGACGAAGTGTTCTAACCTACCCAAACACACTCCGTTCAACGTGGTCTTTTGTGCATCCTTGAAATGATCCCAATTTTGGCAAGCAGGTGGGCATGCCCATCGTATGCATCCATGTCATGTTTGAATGATTTTGACACTGTATGCAACTTGCGACACGCCTAGTCATTTATCTACCTTTTTTGACCAAAAAAAAACTCCAAAAAATGCAAAATTTATCTAAAAGTAAAAGAATTTCGCATGGCGCCTTGAATTGCCATACATGAACATGTAAAAGAAATTGGGGCCATTTGGCGAATGCCGAGAAAGAACGTATTCTAAAATGGACTCTTTTGGCCTATCTGCACACTCTTCATTTAACATGGTCTAGTTTTGGACATTCTGAAAATGACCCCAACTTTTGCAAGCAGGTGAGCATGTCCATCGTAGGTATCCATGCTAGGTTTGAACGATTTCCGACACTGAATGCAAGTTGCGGCATGCTTGGTCATTTATTGGGATTTTTTGACAGAGAGAACTCCAGAAAATGCAAAATTTGTTTAAAACCAACAAAACTTAGCATGGTGACTTGAATTGGTCATGCAAGCCAACAAAAAATTGGGATCAGTTGTCGGATGTCGAGATAGAACGTGCTCTCGAATGGAGCTTTCTTGCCTACCCGAACAACCTATGTTGAACATGGTTTAGTTTTGGACTTTCTTGAAATGAGCCCAACTATTACAAGCAGGTGTGCATGCCCCTGGTAGGCATCCATGCCAGATTTTTAACGATTTCCGATACTATATGCAAGTTGTGACATGTCTGACCATTTATACTTTTTTTATCAAGAAAACTCCATAAATGCAAAATTTGTCGAAAACAAAAAAGGTTTGAATGGTGTCTTGAATCGGCAATACAAGGTAACAAAAAATGAGGTCATTTGATGGATGTTGAGAAACAAGGTCCTCTCAAACGGAGGCTTTTGGCCTACTCGGACAGCCTCCATTGAACATGGTCTAATTTTAGACATTCTTGAAATGAAGCCAACTATCGCAAGAAGGCGGGCATGCCCATGGTAGGCATCCATGTCAGGTTTGAACTATTTCCAACACTGTATACAAGTTGCGGCACTGTCAACAATTTATTTGCCTTTTTGAACGAGAAAACTAAACAAAATGCAAAAAATATTGAAATCCAAAATAACTTGGCATGGTGCTTTGAATTAGCCATATAAGGTCGGAATCAACATTTTTTTTGTAGTGACGATAGAAATACCCCTCACTCAAACTAAAAATATTAGAAACTTGAAATGACTACATTGTAGTTTATGAAAATTAAGGCCAACACACTTGAGAAAATTACCAAACTCTTGTATGCAGATGCAACAATAAGTCAGAGGGCATCTTCCTTTCACCGCCCAGAAAATGTGCCTATTTCTATCAGTGGCCTACTAGTATGACCAGACTGGAAGGAGCTCTCGTCGTTGCTAACACCAGATATCATCATCTCGAGCTGCTTTGGAATTTCAGTATCCATGGGTTTCTTAAATCGCGGAGTCCCAGAAATAGATTGCTTTTCGCTTGAAACTGCCGGCAGCCACACTTTGAGCCTTGAAACAACCTCGGTCATGGTCGGCCGGTCGATGGAAGCGTTTTCGACACAGTTCAAGGCAATGTCTATAGCACTCTGCACAGAACTGACATCGTACTGATCCAACAACCTCTTGTCTACAACATCGTGAATGCTTCCCTTAGCTATATTTTGGCGCACCCAATTTGGTAGATGGATGGTTTGAGGTTCCATCAATACTGGGGGTTGTCCAGTGATGATCTCCAAGAGGACGATGCCAAAGCTGTAAACATCTGTCTTGACAGTGAGTTGGAAAGTTGCATGGTACTCAGGGTCGAGGTAGCCAAGAGTGCCAGCAGCTACGGTAGATATGTGTGTGTGTGCATCGTTAAAAGCCCGTGAAAGCCCAAAATCCGATATTATTCCCACCATGTTCTTGTCCAGAAGAATGTTGGGGGTCTTCACATCTCTGTGCACTATTGACGGAGTGCATAACTCATGTAGATACTCTAATCCTGTAGATTATTAAAACTTTTAGTTCGTCAAAGGCACATACATACATGACCTAAAGGAAAATACACAACTGAAATGCGGACCTTGTGCAGCATCAAGTGCAATATGAAGTCGTTGTTCCCAATTCAAACTATATATCTCTCCTGCATTAATTGATAACAAATTAATGTATGTGCCATTTGATGAATGCTAGGTATTTTATTTTTTTTGCATATTTAAACTAACAAATGATGGTTACAAACACAATGATTAACCACAGTAACAATTGGTATACTAATATCTAAGGCATGCATAAACATGCACTTTGACCTTCAAGGTATCACTGACTTTCCTCAGCTTCGTAGAGCATTTTTTTACAAATCCAATTAATAATCGAACGAAGCTACTCAAGTACTATTTACATACCTCTCTACTTGCTTTGTTTCTTACTACCTTTGAAAGATATATATGTTCATAATTTGTGATTATCTTTCTATGGTTATGATGTATGAATCTAAGACTGTAACTATGGTAGCCTCACTTATTAGAAAAATATTTATGAGCATCTGATAGTGATGACATTAAAAGCATATCAAAAATCAGGTCTAGCAACTCAACTAAACCTTTAACAAGTAAAATTTATTAAACACATAAATCCTGATTCCACTACAATATCAAAGCTAGAGTAGTTTGATTTAGAATTTTATTTTATACTTAACATACATGTCAAATTTTATGTTATGCTATGAAACACAATATATTGGTAATATTTGAAAAGTAAGTGATTCCCAGTGCTTAGTAAAAACCATTTGCATCTTGGTTGTTGTGTAGTTTTTTTGGTTTTGTAGGCAGTAAAACCATGAAATGATCAATTTGTTTTTAATATTAAACATATTTGGGATTAATTGAATCATTTGATTTAACTGAGATAATTTCCATATGATCTTTCTAGCATCTAAATATAAGTTACCAGAATAACTAACTACAGGTGCAGGTTGGGTTTATTGTATGTAAGTCGGGTATGCTTGACAAGAACATTAATGAAAGTTAAGAGGGAAACCTGCTCTGAGAAGTTGTTGAAGATTTCCACCAGGCATGAAGTCATAAATGAGTGCTAGGCACTTCTTGTTTTGGCAATATCCTTTTAAAGTCACGAGATTCTTATGATGAACTTTTGACAAGGTTTGCACCTGCGGTGTAGATATAGTTACCAACAATTCAAGAATTGAAGCTACATGGTTCATTTGGTGAACTAACATCATGGCAGTTGCAAAAGCACTACGAGGGTACTGTGTTGAATATGTTCATAAATCAATGGTACTTTTGTAGGAATTCTTATAATACGAAAGAATAAAATTCAATTCTATATATAACAAGCACAATCACCGTGTTAATATTCATGGTTATTGCATCTATGTATCTCTAGCCTTTAAACTCTATTTTTTATATCTTGGTTTTTTGTTATATAACAAATGTAGATTGTCGAAATGGTTTTATATAACTCGCATAATTTATATTTTTCTTGGACAAAACACTCATGTGCCCTAGTTGGCTTTGTATTGTACCTCAGGGAGGAAGTCCGTTGACTCTGCTATTGATGTCTCCATGAGCACTTTAACAGCTACCTCATCACCATTTTCCAGTATGCCAAGATAAACAATACCAAAGCCTCCTTTTCCAACGATTGTTTGGAAGTTGTTTGTTATGAGCTTCAACTCTGCGTATGTGAACCGTCTGATGTCAAGTTGTAGGGGATTTTCCTCTTCATACATAGCATAATCCTCATTGTCTGTTGACTTCTCTGCAAGGTGAAGAGTGTTTGTTTTCATGCAAGATTAGGTCTAGAATTATTGTGAATTTTCACCACCCTTGCATTGATGGAAGGAAATTTGAAGTGTATAGTTTTATTTTACCTTTCCAAAATAATTTCCAGAGTATGCACATTCCTACTAGAAGTGATACCAGTACCACGGGAACTATCACTGCTATGAGCAAGATAGGCGTGGTTTTCCTCTTCTTCGTCTTATCTAAGCAGTATGTATCTTTTTTGTTTGAGCATATAGGATTGCCTTCTAATCTAATGACACAATTAAACAACATACGTACAAAATCAGCTCAAATATCTTAGCTGCTCTACAAAGTTGGGATTATAACATCACTCTATTTTCGAAGACGAGAAATCTGCAAATAGTTCTTGTACAGAACTCAACCCCTCAAATTAACAAACTACATGATTTCTAAATCACGTGCAATTACTATTAGATCCTTAGCTTCCTCCCATTTGAGGCTAGTCATAGTGGGAGTAACATAGGTAGTAACATGCATGCCACATAAGCAAAAAATGTGATATGGCAAGTAATTAAATATGAGAGAGACAAATAGAGTAACATAATATCATTACCATCACATAGTGGTTCCCAATGCAAAATGATTCTTCTAAGTAATAAATAAAATGGTGCATGACACTATATATATGTACTATGTACCCACTATAGAGGTAGTAACATAGACTGTTAACATATGCATGTTACTAGTCTACGTTACTTCCCACTATGACCAGCCTTAAAAGACCTAGGTGATAAAGCATGTATATTTATTGGATGCAGTACACGTAATTAAGTGCATGTTTGTATCGATAAATGCACAAACGCACTTTCAATGCACCCAAATTGGCCACCACAACTTAGATTAACTAGATGATGCTACGCGCATTTCTGCGGGAATCTTGGTAAAATAGATGTTAAAAGCCTAAAACTATTGCAAAAACAAATTTAAGAATGCTCTTAATCAAACGGAGTGTAAAAAGACTAAAACTATTGAAGATAATAAAGTATATGAAGCATGTAACAAAATGTTATATAAAAAGTGAAATATATTTGATTGAAGTCAAACGGGGTGCCATTTTTAACGAAGTGTGTAACATGACCTGCGTATATTTGCTCCAAGCGTCTAATGTACAAGTATATGTAGGTCATGGTACAAAACAACAAAAATGTGTAACATGACAGTCTATGTTGTGCACAAAAAGTAGTGAAACAAATCCATGCATGATTGCTAAGGTGGCAAATTGTAACTCGTGACCACATGCATGACTTGATGATGTGGCATAGCTGCATGAAAAGGAAAAATAGATAGTGGGTTGTAACTATTTAAGAACAGAGGATTTGCCAGGAGTTTATGTATACGACAACTGGAGTTGTTGTCGCATGGTGCTAGAAAAGTGTGATACACGACAAGTATGGCAGTAGCTAAACAACCGGCAGAGAAAGGGAAACTCACATATCTTTTAACATATGCACGCACAGTAATGTGCAAAGGTTGTTGCTAAACCGTATTGTTTCTGTGATAACCAAAATTAGGTTGAGCCTAATTCTCCTCAGGTGCAGTTGTTTAGTTCATTTGAGATAATCTAGTAACAAATTGTGCAACAAAGCATGCCAAACCTTAAGTCCAGTAGACCGTCCTGGACTCGCTGAAGAATAGAATGAGGGATTGGTCCATCTAGCTTGTTATTTGACAAGTTACTGAAAAATAATAGTTAGAACCATTCATCAAAAATTTATATCATCGGCCATAGATGTAATCAGAGACTTACAGAACTTTAAGTGACTTCAGTTGATAGTCTGGAATAGCTCCCGTCAGATTGTTGTGTGATAAATCCCTACATACATTTTGTTCTTAGGATCACGAAGGACGACAACATATTCTTGCTAGCCTATCAATATTATGTTGTGGGCACCACTTACAAGTTTTCTAATGATGTCATGTTCATAAATGATATGGCAAGTCCACCACGTAGTCCAGTGCTAGAAAGATTTCTGTAAAAAATTAATGTTAATTCAAGATTATTTTTTTGAAAAGTAGTATCACCTCCGGCCTGTGCATCAAAATGATGCATGCAGTCATGATGTTCGTTCAAGTACCTTTAATTTAGTGACATCATTGAGCTAACATGTATTTCCAAAGAATATGCAATTGTCTTTCTGTGGTCCAGTTTTATACTAGCTTCTTTCAATATTTCGACTGAATTACATGTATTTTCAAGATCTTAGGACATGGGGCATTGTGATATATGTATAAACAAGAAACAATATATCTGATGCAGCATGCCAATGAAAAGGTAACTTCCGTGGAACCTTAAATTACTTAAGGTTGATGCAATGCAATGCACTTAAAAGCTTCAAAAGATTGAGTTGCAATGTTTAGATTCCGACACCCAGTGAAAAAAGGATCAGGAGTCGATCGGAATTATTTAACTTCACAAAATCCCCTCACCTCCGGCGACGCTCCCGCTAGCGTCAGT